GTGGCTGCCCCATCCCTGGAAGTGTTCAAGGCCAGGTTGGATGAGGCTTTGAGCAACCTGGTGTAGTGGAGGGTGTCCCTGCCCATGGCAGGGGGGGTGGGACTAGATGATCTTTGAGGTCCCTTCCAACCCAAACCCTTCTGTGATTCTATGACTGAAGCACACAGCAGGGTGCGAGCAACAAACTCAACACCAAGCGCAACGATACTTCCATACGTACTTCTTGCAAGTGGAGAGAAACTAATTCTCCACTGACACTAAGAGACTCCACTGAGCTTCAACTTTCCTCTGCAAACACCCACAGTGTTAAAGTTCTTCAAGAAGCGCTGGAAAAACTCGCAAGATGGAAAGTTTTAAGCCCTACAATCGTGAAGATTACTGCCTTATCTCCTATCGTAATCCTGAGATCCTGAAACTGTTCCCAAGAGTGGGAACTCAATGTGCTAAGCTGACTTGGAAGGCTTCCATCTCTGTAGCTTGATATTTGGTGTGGATTGTCCATGCAAGACACCACACTAACTCCTTTTCTACTAACTGCTAGAGAGGATGGCTTCATTTTAGCTGCTTTCTGAAATGCAGCCTCATTTACCAATCTCTCCCTTATCCCTCAGTGGTAGGACTGGCAAGAGGACTCAGAAGGTTAATCAAATTAACCTTCTTCCCTTCCTAAACCAACCAATTATCAATTGGGCTCTTGCTCATGTACAACTGCTATAGTGTCACCAAACAAGAATGCTCCCTCAAATTCTCCAACATTCCTTAATAATGGCTGTTTTGTTACACAGACTGAATTCTTTTGCTTTCTCTAGGGAACCTTACTCAAACAGTGAAGTAACATTTTTAACTTTTCAGTTACACAAAAGCTGGTAAGAACTGATCCCTCCCCTCAGTGTTCACTGACATGCCTTTATGAAGCATCCTTAGAAACTGAATTCCATCTCTTTGTGTGTGTATCTATTTACACACACAATTTCTACTATCACCAAATTCCTGTATTCTCTTTGTGTGTGTATCTATTTACACACACACACAATTTGTACTATCACCAAATTCCTGTATTTCATAGAATCATGGAACAGTTTGGGTTGGAAGGGATCTCAAAGATCATCCAGTTCCAACCCCCCTGCCATGGGCAGGGACACCCTCCACGACACCAGGTTGCCCAAAGCCTCATCCAACCTGGCCTTGAACACTTCCAGGGATGGGGCAGCCACAGCTTCTCTGGGCAACCTGCTCCAGTGCCTCAGCACCCTCAGAGGGAAGAATTTCTTCCTTAGATCTAATCTAAATCTCCCCTCTTTCAGTTTAAAGCCATTGCCCTGTGTCCTATCACTACATGCCCTTGTAAAAAGCCCCTCTCCAGCTTTCCTGTAGCCCCTTTAGGGACTGGAAGGCTGCAATAAGATCACCCTAGAGCCTTCAATTAAGAAAGGCTGGAATAAACCAGACAACGCATAGGCTGCAATAAGATCACCCTGGAGCCTTCAATTAAGAAAGGCTGGAATAAGCCAGGCAACGCATTAACTCGTGGGAGAAGTACTGGAGACCATGGTGGAGCAACACACTCATGTCTCTGGGTGGACTCGTGATGAGTGCCCATGAGTGCCCGCTGGATCTTTAAGATGTGATTTAGCACTGCCCCCAGTCCAGCACGGCCAAGTGTACAAGGTCATCACCTGTGCAGTGCTGCAACTCGCCTCTCAAGACAACACTCCAGTTGCAATGCAGAACCCAGCCCAGATCCGACAGAGACCAACAGCTCCAGCTCCGCTTCCGACTATCCGGGATCTGAGACAGCTCCTGCAGAGTCACGCTGCACACTGACCTGTGAGGTGGATACAGCACTGGATCTGCATGAACACAGACACCCAATGCACTTCTTGAAGCCCAAACAGTGGCAGATGCATTACTGAATCCAAGTGGAACAAGTTTGGATCTGGAAGAACCAGAGCTAGCAATCACAACCAGGCTCCAGCTAACAGCAGGCAAATTCCTTTCAGAGTCTGTGCATCACATGCCCTGATGATTCCAGTGTCTGCAGCGTGTTCTTAAAAGACTAGATCTGCTTCCACACGGACATGTGGGAGCCCATTAGGGCTTGCCAGTTCAATTTTTATGATATGTAGAAGAAAATTAGCTTTTTGCAAACCAGAGATGCCCCAGTTATGGCACAGCTGTACTCATAAAACACTAAGCCCAAAGCAAAGCCCATTCTGTACTGCAGCACAGCACATCCACAATCCAGCGAAACCAGTTACTGTGCTGAAAAACAGACCAGGAGAACAAAGCTTCTACTACTTCAATATCAAATGTTTTCCTCCAACTCAGAATCCCCTTTTCGTTGCTCCAAACGTGCAGTATATTCCTGCTCTTTCATGAGCCCATGCCCAGATCGGGTGCTTGTTTTTAAGCAAGCCTTCTGCACACAGCTCTGTCCCTGCTGTCCCCTGCTGCCTCTGCACTGTTGATGTCACTCTGGTGCCAGCCCCCTTTGCTTGGAGACACTTCTTGCTTCCTCACAGGGAATTATGAAGCAATACTGACCTCTAGCTACTTTATGGAGCTATTTAACCAACTCAAGAACTTCAAAATTCTGCATCAGCTGCCAAGATCTAATAAAATTATATCATCGTTTAAAGATGGAGGCAGATCAGAGGACCTTACCATCCCAACCAATAATTCTACCATCCAGGAGTAGTGCAGGGCAGCTCCTCGCAGTTGTCCATGGGAAGAAAAGGAACCAGCACAGTTGATGCATTCAGTAATTGGGCACAATTAAACTAATAGCTGTCCTACTCCACCTGGAATACTCCATAGGAATTGAGCAGAAAGGATCCCGTTTCCTCCTCCCTCAGGGTGAACGCTGCTGCTCTGCAGATAGAGTCTGACGTAAGCGCACCCAGCTCCAGTGAATTGCCAAGACTGGTACAGTGACAGCGTCTATGAATCAGACATTCTGTTCCACCATCACACACTTAATCTGACATACTAATTTATCATCTTCTTTTTTTGAAGACAATGGATTTTTCAGCAAGCCAAGTTGATTATACATTCAACTGTTCACGCCTGAGCTGTGTGGAAGGAGTAAAATATTAATCTCTCCCTTTAGCAGCCTGCTGCTCTTCTCTGAGCTGTTTCCAATTTGCTTATTGAGTTGATCTCTAATGAAATACAATTTCTTGGACATAATCTCATCACAGAAATACAGTAAGTGAGAACCAACTGTGTGTTCCTTCCTGCTGCTTTGGAATGGAAGGCAAGAAAAATGCTGACACATTTCCTAAAACATCACTACTCTTTACAGCCCCCTCAGTGTATTTTTGACATCAGACTTACTACATGGGATACACAGACAGGAAAACACTACTGGGCACTAAGACCTTTTCGGCTCCTTTCAACAGCTGTCTCCGATTCCACTTATTCAGGAGTACACTCAGGAATACCCAAGCTTGGGCACTCCAGTGAATCTGAAGTGGCAGATAAAATACAGACTTTTTGTCAGTTTTACAACTGGTGAAATGAAAGCTTCAGAAAAAAAAATAGTATCGAACAGTAAGAACCAATTAACTGGATAAATAATCTGAGTTTTTGCCACAGAAACGAACATCAGCTTCTGGCAGTCTATTAACCTCATGGCACGGGGCAAACGAAGAGACCAATGTGTTTACTACACAGTGCTGTCCGTTATCCAAAATAATGACACACACACCTTTGTGTGCTTATTGCATGCTCTAAATTAGCTACATATTGATGCATCACCAAATTCTCATAATATAAGGTCATGCAGAACAATAGTATCTGCTCCAAAACATAAAGACTCCTCACAAAAGCAAAAAGTGAATACCAGGAGTACTGTGCACATTTGCACAAAGCCAAATTGGATGGTTTTAATTTTCATCTGTAAAGTCAAGCACATGCCAAGGTTGGGGTTTTTTTGGGTTCTTTGATGAATAACTGGAAAACTTTAATTATCAGGGCCCCATGAAATTCAAAGGGAGCTAAAAGCCTAAAACAGTACAAGATTTGAGCCACCCACCTTACTCGAGATTTCAGTATCAGAGAATTGACTGAAACTACTCTAATCTGTCAGGATTAGAACAGGGGTCTGATTTTTTTCTTTTCTTCCCCCAACAGACATTGAGAACTGCTCTGTCATCTCACATTTCTGAGCAGAAACACAGAAGTTTCTCAAGAGAAACTGCATTAGTGTTCTGTCCAACAGCTGTTGCAGACAAGAGGTCCATCTATAGATCACAAACAACAGACTGTAAATAAACGGTGCATGCTGTATTGTTTTGTATAAACTAAGGACAAATTTCCAGGTTTCCAGGTGCCAAAATCATTTTGTAGCATATTTACTTTAAATGTATGTAAAACTTGCAAGATCCATGAATGGAAAGGGAGAACAAACACACATTTCCACATGGAGGCCAGCAAATCCCACAGCTCACCGAGTTGTTGCGTTCTGTTTCCCCATCAACCCTCACCCAGCAGCAAACAGGACTGCAGCTGTTGACTTTCTTGGCATCGCAATTTTGGTCCCATTATTGACAGAACCACGGTCTACACTAACTAAAAGGGATTCAGAATTTTAAATTGTAGGCACAGTGTCAATTGATACGCTTCAAGAGTTATAGTTAATAGCAAAGGTTAACTAGACATCATCACAAGTCGAGCAATATCAAGACAGAGGTAGTTAACTGAACACCAAAGCCAGACTGCCACCCTCTGACAAAAGCTTTCCACTCTTGGGGATGAAACACGAGGTACCTCCCCTTATTTATTTCGGTTTCAATCACACCAGAAGCTCCTAATTAACCAATATGACAAAAGGGTATTTTACCACTGGTAAAACAAGCTAAGTAACAGTATTCATTGTCGATCCAACACGTAACAGCTGCCACGAGCTCGAAGTGTGAATATAAATAATAACATACATTTTGGGTTGGAAAGGAATATAAACAATTTACTACTTCTCTAAGGATCTGAACTACAATCACGCAAAGTGCAAGCAGACAGGAAAGCAGCCTAACTTTCAGTTTTATTTTCAGCCCAGGTACTTACATGCCAAAGCGCAGCGTTCCAGAGACGTACGTCTGCCAGTGCGCGCAGTAAAACATGAATGTTCCAGCAAAACAACAAAAGAACATCCAGTCAGGGTTGGTTCCCAGCTGCACAGCAATACAAGTTCCCAAAACCACAAAGACTGCAGAAGAAAATCAGTCACATAGTAAAAATATAAAGCATGTAAAGATCCTGACCAGAAACAAGCCTAACAAAAGGACCCAGAGAAGGAGAGACGGGGTGAAGGCATCCTGATGAGTTTTATTTCACAGGCACGAAATTAACACTTCAATTTAAGAGGAGTACAGACTGTGAAATGTGTATTTAAACTCATATCAGTTATTAGAAGGCCTCAATATTGAGCTGTTTCTTGGTCTCCCTCATTTTTATTGAGCTTCATGGGGTTAGGCATCAAGGGACTTGAGTGACTTATGCCCCTGGAGCCTGTGGCCAGAGTTTCGGTGTTTCCTCATGTATCCAAAATTTGTTGGACATATTTTTCCCTCCCATTTCCTGAATTTTTATTATGTCATTAAGAAAAACTAAGGTCTGCCATCCAAGACTCATAAGGTATCCATGCTATCCCCTCCACCCTTTAAACACACAATTTTGACAATGTATTCATAAAGATTTAAAGAGCTTTAGAATGAAAGTACCCAAAAGCTGATGGTGCTTTTGCCGTGAGGTTAAACTTCAGGCTGGCTCACTGAGGAACTGATCTTGCTGATTCTAACCTTAAACTCAGACTTCCACCCTCCCACTGTTTAGGCTTCACACCTGCCTTGCAACCACTCATATAGATTCAATCTAAAATAATACAGAAGAGCATTTTGACAACTTCTCACAGCAAATCTGTTAGAACCAAGGCTCTGAGAAAGCACACACAGAAGATTGCTGGCTCAGACTGAATTAGTTACATGCTTAATGTTTTTTTCAGGGTAACACAAGAGAAGACATTCAGCTGGTCAAGAGGACTGCCTATGGAACAAAGGTTGGCTGAAAAGCTACACATTCAGCAATTTCAGTTGTCCTCTTCTTCAGTACAGAAGCATCTTTCTGTATTCCAGATTTGATCCCCAAAATAGCATCATTTAATCCTCACACTTCAATGAAAAATGACAATACCTGTGGAAAGTGAATCACAGCCATGATCAAAAAGTTCTCCTAACGGAGTACTGCTATTTGTCCTTCTTGCTTGTTTTCCATCTATAGCATCCAGAGACTGGTAGATGAAAAGGCCACATGCACAAGCAATATATGCCCAGGGAGGTGCCTAAGAAAGAAAATCAACGAGAGTAAAAGATTTTTTAAATCTTAAAAAAAAAAAAGCCTTAAGTTGAGCTGTCTTATGCGCTCACACAGTAGTTTTTCATTTGCACACACTTTCTCAGGGCATGCATGGAGCGCTCAGTGGCTGGTCCTTGCACAGACAGGCAGAGGGGGTTATGACATGTGAAATGTAAATAAAACAGTGACAACCATTACTAGCTTAGATTAAGAAGTACAGCACATTTTCTAAAGCAGGAAGCTGCACTGTACATCTGAAAAAAAATATAGTGCTACCTCTGCACAGTGGTGTGCAATGAAGATCTTGTCTTGCTTCCCTTCCCTGTAGGAATGTGTAAGTTGTCGGAGTGATTTAGAAACCCAAAAGCTTTCTTAGCCCCCAAAACGTGCAACTGTCACAAACACTGAGCTCATCTTCACAAGACCTCGGCGAGGCACCACGTACCCAACCCCTGCCAAGTACAGGGTGCTACCAGGCACTGCTATTGCCAGGTAGCAGCAGCTTTGCCAAATCCGTGTGACCAGCCCTCGATATCCACATCCAGCAGAGCAATTTGGATTGCGAGAAACACACGATCGCCAAGGACCACAGTTCGGGCTTTGTTCAGTATCTGAAGCACAAACCATGATTACCACAAAAGCCAGAGGGTTGCCATTAGTCTGCCTCACTTTACACATCCATGAAACATATTATTGGATGTTTTGCAATCTCCACATTCACCACACTTTATAAAAGTGAGCATTTATGAACAGCTCTATTTTACAGACCGCACCACGGGAGCCACAGCCCCAGTTCTCTTGGTGCATTCAGCAGAGGGCAAAGGGCTAGTGAGAACCAGCCAAGGTTTTGCCTCCTGGCACCTTTGGTTTGGGAGGAATCACTGAAGTCCAAACACAGCTAAGCAGCTGAATCAAGCTGACTTGCCTCACCAAGCTCTGGATTTCAGCTTCTTTTGGACTCATTTGTGGCACATCAACGTAAATATATTATTTCCACAGCTTGCACTGTTCCTGCTACTGCATTTTCCTAAAACAGTTCATTCTGCCCCAGAAGCTGGCACCATGCTCTGCTTTTAGCAACATGTCTACACAAACCAGCACAAGAAGAGAGTTCAGGGGGAAACGTGTCCCTCAAAAGCAGAGGATCATGTGTAGATGAGGATTTGATGCTACAGAATTCCACCTTGTGCTGATATTTCTGTGTCTTATGACTAGATTTTATACACAAGGTTTAAGTTATCTTTCAATGTCATGAAATTTCTCCTCTAAAAACTTTTACAAAATAAATCAGACTGCTGGCTCTTCTTTCTTAAATACCACTTTCATTACCAGTGTAGGTGTTTCCACTTCGATGTTATTTGTATCTGCGTAACATTTCACAGCTCCCTCTCTTATTCAAGTCTTTTTTCTTTTTTTTTTTTTTTAAAAAAAAACACAACCACAAAGATTCAGGTACCATTGCTCAGCACTTTGCTGGCTGGGGTCTCCCCAGCTAAGCAGTCAGCAGAACTATTTGTATCTCATTTTCCTTTTGGCTACCAGCGAGGCTGTAAGTGATAGCTACATTCCCTTGGCTACACCTTTCATCAACAGGAAGAGACAAGTCACTCTTGAAAAAAGCAGAACTAAGACTGAGCTACAAGGAAGAGAAAATTTACATCTAAAAGCAATAGTGCTTTCAGGAGGAAAAAAAAAAAAAATCTGTTTCTGGAATTTCAAAGCCCCATTTTCTTCCAGACAGCTACTTGACACTTAAAACACACAAGCTCACAGCTCCACCACTGAGATGGCATCCTCCCTGTGGTGCCAGCACGCAGGGCTGCAGTGCCAGATGGCAAGTGAGATCAGGCTGAAAGCTACCTCAGCAGAACACTATTTTTCAGCTCAAGTGAGGAGAGGATCTTGCTCCCTTCGCACAAAGTGACCCACAATGTTAAACACGACACGGCGTTTTAACGCAGCAAAGTACAGCTCTGTGGCTCTATACAACACTCTATACCAACCAAATCACAACTGTGCTCTAAATTCTGAATTCTGCGCTGGCTCAGTGGCCCACACCAGCTGCTAAGTTGCTGAAAGTCTCTATGGAACTGGATTGCAGAGACTCAGCCTCCACAGTGAACGGCAAGTTAAAACCAAGCTGCACGGCGATGCCACAGTCTGAAAAAGGAAGGAGCTGCTCCAAGCACTCGCTGCTCCAACTGAAAATCCACTTTTTGTCCTACACCTGCCAAATTCCACAAGATATTGTGAAACTGTATTTCAACAGATCTCTGGAAGAGGCAAACATCCCTTTGCCACGTCAAACACGGAACGAGGACGCAGAGCATTGGATGTACCAACCCATGTGGGTTTGTTAGAGTCCGGGTGGAAACAAACTGATGCCGCTTGACTCCAAAGGATTCTCCAATCTCAGCTGGGAGACTTGGTTGTGAAGGAGTTCAGATATTTTAAGAGCTAGAACTCCTCAGACCTTCTCCAGTCATTCAACATGTAACAGCTTTCTGTACCAAATAATTCCCTTTTCCAGTGCCTGCAGACAGGAGCAGCTTCTAAGATCCAACATCCAAGCGACAAAACTTTTGCGGTGCACAAAACCAGAGAAAAGCCTCTGAAATTAGCAACTTGAAATGCCTTGTAAAGACTTTTGCATCCCGGTGGCCAGGAATTACAGGGAGTACAGGCAGTTCTCCCGAGGACAGATCCAGAGTTTTTAGTGCATCCAGAACAAAGAATGAAACACTGACTCTTGTCTGGCCTCCTCGCAGCACGGGCTGCTCAAGACGACAACTCTGTGCTCCCACAGCTCCTCGCACGCTGTTCCGAGGTGCCTGACAACACAAAGTGCCAGGGTCCATGAGGGTTGAAGAAAAGTGTTCCTGTTCTTCAGGAAGCTGGGTTTCATCACACCAGCCACGGAGCAAGCAGCCAGCCTTGATCACAGAATCACAGAATCGTCTGGTTGGAAGAGACCCTCAAGATCATCGAGTCCAAGCGTTTACCCTGCACTGTCAGGGTCCCTAAACCAGGTTCAACACCAAATCCACACAGTTTTTCACAACTCCAGGGATGGGGACTCCACCACCTCCCTGGGCAGCCTGTTCCAATACTTCACAACTCTCTCTGGAAAGAAATTTTTCCTGATATCCAACCTAAATTTCCCCTGGTGTAACCTGAGGCCATTCCCTCTCGTCCTGTCATTCATAACGTGGGAGAAGAGACCGACCCTCATCTCCCTACAACTTCCTTTCAAGTAACTGTAGAGAGAGAGAAGGTTCCCCCTGAGCCTCCTCTTCTCCAGAATGACCAGTCCCAGCTCCCTCACAGGACAAGTTCTCCAAACCCTTCACTAGTTTCGTTGCCCTTTAAACAAACTAAACAGCTCTTGATCTCTCAAGCTGCACCACTTTGGAGCTCAGTCCCTGCTCTGAGCTCGAGCTCCTCACTGTGCTGCGACTCTAGCTGGGCTCGCGGGCTCTCAGCCCACTGCCAGTGAGCCACCTTGCACCTCTTGTCGTGTGGTAACCCTAGATCAGAAAGCTGAAGGCGGTGAACCCGGTCACAGGCAGAGAAAGTAAATGGGCAAAAACTCCCTGTGCCATGCAAGCCAGCTGCAAGTCCATTTCTAACTACCTGCACATGCCCTCAAGCCCTGTGGGGCTGCAGCCTGCATACAGCAGATCCTCCCCAGCTGCAACCAGAACAGCTATTTCGGTATTAGACCCCACTTTTTAGGGAGCATCTCGGCCAGAGGAACCACTGTTTCACTCAGCACGCAGCACACTAACCCCACAATCCGTACGTGCTTTTTCTCCATGCAACCCCAGAACCCGTACGTGCTTTTTCTCCATGCAAGCATCATTCAGAGACACACACCACAAACGTTTATAGAGAACAGCTCAAACGTAGGAGAACTGCGGGCTGGCCGCCGAGAAACAGCTCTCCACACAGCCCACCCGAGACCAGCTGACAGGAACCACGAACCACGCCAGTCAGAGGTTCACGACTTACCTGCTCTGTGGCTGTCGGGCAGTAATATACCAATAGCAGAGTTGTGAATATATTTATTAACAGTCCAATGATGGTGATGAGATTGGGGGCGATCCAGGCAGGAACTCTCCCAACTAACCATTCCCAGTACCCTTGCATGAGGGGTTCAAGCAGGGACCGTCCAGCGCTCTGGTATTTGTGTTCTTCCAACCGTTTCAGCTGGTGCTTGGACAAGGGAGGCGTGGGCAGCTGCACCAGTTTGCTTAGCACGCACCCAGCGGCGGGCCCGTGGCCGCAGCCGGCGGGGGGTTCCAGGTGCGACTCCCCACATCGCCTCCTCGCGTTTCGATGCCCGCTCATGGGGTGGGCGGCTTCGGAGTTTTTGTTTGGCAGGTAGCAGCTGTCACGGAGAACCATAAGATCCTGCAACAAAGGGTTGAGACGTGGAAGGTGAAGAGCACAAATCACAGAATCACGGAATGGTTTGGGTTGGAAGGGACCTCAAAGATCATCCAGTTCCAACCCCCCTGCCATGGGCAGGGACACCCTCCACTACACCAGGTTGCCCAAAGCCTCAAAATGAGATATCAAAAGCTTCTAGGTGCTGAGCTAAGAAGAGCTTCACTGGCCATTAGCAAAACAAGAAGGTTTTATGAGCTCTCCCTCAGAAAACAAAGGTATTTGGAGACTTCCTGAGGGAAAGACAGGGAAAAAATCATTCTCCACGCAGTTATAAACCAGCGAGTTGCGCTTGTTTGCTCTCCTTGCTGCTGACCGAAGCAAACACCCCGCGGCCACCAGCCTGAATTTCATCAGCAGCAGAAACTTACACCACTGACTTACGTTACGGACTAAGCACAGCCCTCACGTCTCTCTCGCAGGAGGGCTGGTTGTACCCAACAGCTTTCCAGTCGCTGGCACTAAAGACTTCTCTGTACTCACACTGGTTTCAGTTTAACTGGTATGAAGAAGCTTTGCCTCTTCGGTGAAGCTGACCAACCATCTAAAGGCAGTTACAAGCAATTTTTTTCAGATCACTGTTCCTCTTTTCAGTTTTGCTGCAGTTTTTTTCTTCTCCAAATTTAACCCAGTTCAGGTGAAAGCTCATTACTTATTCAACTTTTAAGATGTGCAAGAAACACGCAGGAGCTCGAGAGCTTTAGCTGGTCAAAGACAGCCTACAGACACCAGCATGAGATAGCTGTGACAAAACCGGAGGCTCAGGAACAACATTTCCAGTGCAAACAAGAAACCTTGGGATGTTCCAGCTCCTTCAAGGCAGGAGAGCAGCAACACATAACTCCCCACATGAACTAGAGGAAAAGCAGCAGAGAAAGGAAACTAAAAAGAAAAAAATTGCTATTTATCTACGTGAACCAACCAGAAAAAAACCTAGTTGTGAAGTCTAGCAGCGTGGAGCTAGAGAAGGGAAGATGACAGCTATCTCCAAAGCCACCAGCAAAGCACACACCAGGTGGGGGAAATAAGCCCCATAAATCAAAGGTCAACACCGGCATAAGAACCAGTGCTCCCATTTCCACCCTCCACAGCTTAATTAAGGCAATTCCCAGCAGCGAAAAGCCAACCCCGGAAAGGGCTGTCGGAGGCACAGAGGACAAGGCAAGCGAACCGGGCCTTGCTTACGCGGGAACTCAGGGGTTTGGAGCGGGCACGCTCGCACCCGCTCACTTATCGGGAAACCAGCCACCTCGGAGAACCCTGCAGGTGCTGTCCTGGATGACCAGGAAAACTAGTTCCAACGCAGAAAACTGGACACTTCTCCTCTCTTCCTGAGGCGTTGCTCCCCCTGAAGGGAGCCCCGCCTGAGACGGGAGAGAAGCCACCCAGAGGCCGCCTCGTCCTCCAAAACAAACACCCCCACCGCCCGGCTCCGCGGGACTTTCACCCGGGCCTGGCCGCTCGCCGGCGAACACCCGGGGGAGGGGAGGGAGAACACGGACACCCCTCGGCCCGGCCCGGCGCTTCGCCCCCAGCCCG